GGCTACTTGATGGAGAGCTCTAGGCAAACTTTTCCCACTCAGCAATTTGCAAGTCATGTCTCATATAAATTTAAGTCATTTTGCCTTAAAAATGTTAAATGAAAGCCAAAATTAGAATTTAAAAAAAACACACAAAACTTTGAAAGCACTAGCTATAAAATCTAAAAAAGCCTATTAACTTGTATGAGGATAACAACTTAGAGTGTGAATTCTGTTTCTCATTCATGATAGAAACTTGGAAGTGACCTCAGATTATCTATTCTTACACAGACTTTCTTAAAGAGAGCTGGAAGCAGTATCCACAGCTTCTGGGGTGTACTCTTTCAACATTTGATGTCCTTAATAAGTCAAATTTTCCATCATGCTCAACTGAAATACCTTATGTTTGAATTGAAGCTCACTTCCTTGTTTGGTCTCCTACTAACAACGAAAACAGATTGTTAGTAGTCTCTTAACAAATAAATAAGTAAACAAACTAGCTTTTCTTTGCCAGAGGAGTGTTTTAAGTATTTTTGCTGGTGTTTCTAATACATGTATGATAGCTTTTTAAAATTGATGGTGAAAGTTACCATAGATTGTTTATATTATGTTCTGAAGGTACACTAATAAGAGAGACAGACAAGAGACTGATTATCCTAGATGTAGTGAGCCCAGAAGGCAGCTCCTGAGTTCCTATTTGTTTGTAAACTTAACAGAATGAATCACTTTGTTTCCCCATCTCCAAAAGCTGTCTCCTTTAAGGCATTTTTGTTACATCCAGTTTGTTGGTCATCCAGTTTATGCCTCTTGAGCCTTGCCATGTCCTATGCTAGATCTGATCACCTTCTTTTAGCCTCAAAAAATTTCTGGAATTCCATTTATGACAGAAAATATATTACACCCAACTAGAATCATTTAATTTCCTTCTTTATGCATTTCCATATGAACATGTAATCTCAATATATTATCTTTTCCTTTGCATCTCTTGCAAAATAATGTGTATATTTTAAAGTATGTATCAAGGATGCAGTCAGCTACTCTTCTACATGACAGCTTTATTTCAGTGACTTTATTTTATAGAGTCTCAGTTCTGCTAAAAATGTTTAAGGGTGTCAATTGTAGTGCCATTTATAATATAAAATGCTAGAAACAATTGCAGTTTTTTGAGACAGGGTCTTGCTATATAGTTCAGGCTGACCTTGAACTCAACTGTATAGCCCAGGCTGGCCTTGAACTGGCTGCCATCTTCCTGCCTCAGCCTGCCAAGTGCTAAGATTACAGATGTGTGCAACCACACCTGGCCACAATTGCAATTAATATTAATTAATAATGGGCTAAATAAGTTGTAGTATATATACTGAGATATCAGTTAACTGGCCCTCAATAAATGTTGACTGAACAAAGGAATTTATTGTTACATGGAAAAGTACAAAGTGCAGAACAGTATACACTTCGTGCAATTAAAAAGATGGATATATACATACAGTATGCATTTATATAATGCCTTGATACATATAACATTTCCAGAATCATACAATAAACTGGTAATATTAATCACCATGGGAATAGTATTGAGTGGAAAACATGATGTTTATTTTTAGACTCTAAGTGGAAAAATAAAGCAAAGCCTTGAATGAAGACCTAGACCAATAAAATGATTGGGAAAAAAATGCTTGTACCTTCATAGATTATTTCCTCCTTCATATAGCACTTCTACTCTAGACCTCATTATCCTCCATTTTTGCCTCTGTGCTCTACTATTTAGAAATGCCTCTGTCCTCTTGTGTTTAGAAATGCCCTCTGTTCTCTTGCACAAATAAATCTTTCTTCTTTTCAAAACTAAGGACTAACCCCTTCATGAAACTTTACTGGACTTCCATTTCACAGAAATCTGTCTTTTAAATACATGCTTAGCGCATATTCAGTTTCATATGATCAATTAATTATTCAGTAATTAATTTTATATAATCAACTTTATTATGTATTTTTATTAGTACATGTTTGTAGTACATAATGATCATGTTCCTTATGAGAAGTTAGTACATGTACATAGTATGTCTTGAATTGTTTTTTAAATCTCTGCCCCCTCCACTCTCTCTTTTTCCTCTCTCCATCTCTTGGTCCCCTTCCCATATGCAAAAGCTCTATCTTGCTATTTCCTATTATCTATCTTTTCATTTTCCTCTTCATCCATATGTTGAGTTCCTCATATATGAGTAACCATACAATATTTAAGTTTGTGTCTCTGATTTATTTCACTTAACATTATGGACTTAAGGTACACCCATTTTTCTACAGATGTCTTAAGCTTATCCTTTGTATCAGAGTACGACTCCATTCTGTATAAATACCACATTTTCTTTATCCATTCATCTGTTGATGGACATACAGGCCATTTCCAAGATTTAATTATTGTGAGTTATGCTACTATAAACATAGATATGTGCGTATCACTGTAATATGATGTCTGTTTCAGGAAGATACCTAAGAGAGGAAGCTGCATCCAGTAGAATTTATTGTTTTAGTTTTTTGAGGAATTCCATGCTAATTTCCATAATGGTTGTATTAGTTTATCTTTCCACCAGCAATGTAGAAGCCTCCCCACCTCTCAGCCTTGCTAACATTTGTTACCTAATTTCTTTTGTTTTGTTTTGTTTTTGTAGTTGTTATATAATTTCTTGATGATAACCTTTCTGGATAAGATGGGCTACCAGTGTTGTTTTAATTTACATTTCTCTAATGACCAGCAATATTGAACATTTTTTAATATATTATTGGTCATTTGTACTTATTCTCCTGGGAACTTGAGAACTATGTGTTCATTTCAGTCACCTATTGTTGGATTGGCTCTTTTATTTATTTTTTATTTTTTATTTTTTTTTGGTACCGGGGACCGAACTCGGGTCCTTGCGCTTGCAAGGCAGGTGACGGAACCACTGGGCTAAATCCCCAGCCCAAGGCTCTTTTATTTTTAAGAGTCTGATTTTTTTTTGAATTCTTTACATATTGTAGATATTAGTTCTCTATCTGAAGAATATCTGGCAAAGATTTTTTTTCCCATTCTGTAGGTTGTCTCTTCCACTCTGTTGGTTGTTTCCTTTACTGTGCAGAAGGTTTTAAATTTCATATGATCGCATTTATTGGTTCTTGGTATTATTTCTTTTGCCATTGAGATTCTGTTCAGAAAGCTCTTGCCTATACTGTGACTTAAAGAGTTTTACCTACTTTATCTTCCAACAGATTAAGTGCTTCTGTTTTAATTCATTTTTTGAACCATTTTGATTTTAGTTTAGTACATGGTAAGAGATATGGATCTAGATTCAATCTTCTGTTTCTGGATAGCCAGGTACCATTGTTAAAGGGGCTATATTTCCTCCAGTGAAAGTTTTTCACCCCTTTGTCAAAGACCAAATAGCTGAATGTGCTTGGAGTTATTTCTGCATCCTCTATTCTGTTGCATTGATCTCTGTGCCTGAGTTTTTGCCAACACCATGCTGTTTTGTTGTTGTTTGTTGTTTGTAACTGTAACTTTATAGTCCTGAAGTTCAGGATTGTAATCCCTCCTGCCTTGTTCTTGATGCCTAGGATTGCTTTTACTATTCTAGGTCTCTTCTGGTTCCATAGGAATTTTAGGATTTTTTTCTCTAGTTCTCTAAGGAATGCTTGTAGGTATTGTGAGAGAGATTGTGTTCAATCTATATATCTGTTTTGGAAGTATGGCTATTTTGACTGTGTTTGTTATGCCTATCCAGGAATAGAATAGCTTTCCACATTCTGATGTCCTCTTTGATAGCCTTTTTCAGGATACTCTAGTCTTCCTTATAGAGATCTTTCACTTACTTGCTTAGGTTAATTCCTAAAGTGTTTAATTTTAACTCTAACCTTAATCCTAACCCCATGAGCCGTGAGCCAGGGACAGGATCTAGATTGTTTTGTTCTTTTCTCTGCATTATGGTCCATCTCTCCAACTTCTCTGTAGCTTTTAGTTTTCCTGTCAGTTCCTTCCTGAATCTCCGTGAACTACTATTATTTTTTTCTTCACCAAGTTGTTATTTTCCAGTGTCTGGATTCCAGATCTTGGAGAGGCTGAATTTTGCTGCTGATCACCACTTCACTTTCTTTTATTTCCACTGTATTTGAGTAGAGATTTAGAGAATTTTCATTGTCTCTGTTGTATTTGAATTATATAGCACCTAGCATTATCAATAAGTGTGTTAAAGAAATTTTTTCTTTCATAATATTAATCTGGGGTTGGGGAGACGGCTTTGTGGTAGACTGCTTGGCTAGCCAGTGGGAAGCCCTGAGTTTGGTCCCCAGTACTACAAAAAAAACAAAACCTTAATCTCAAAGGACTAAGGAAATAACTCAGTGGTACAGGGCTTGCCTAACATGCATGAGGCCATGGACTCAGTCCCTAGTGTGGGGCCAGAGGGGCTTTTGACGGGAGTTTGTGTATATGTCTGTATGTGTATGTGTATGTGTGCACGCATGTGTGCATGTCTGTGTTTGTATAAGTACATATATATATGAAATGTTATTTTTTAAGAAATAAGTAGATAAAACTGTAACATAGAAGCACAGTCTATGGCTTACACTAGAGAAATAGTCTGTCTAATCCAACATATGTGTTTGAAAGTTGAGAAAATTAAGATATACAAACTCAAGCAGTTCCTAATAGGTTACACTAAGTCATAAAGTTAGTTCGTGTCCAACATTCTCAAACTCTGTCCACTGTTTTCTCCGATATAATAGTCTTGAAAATATATCCTGTATTTGAAACATAATTTTAAGCTGTCAATCTTTGCTTTTTAGAATCCGTTTTATTTAATCATCCTCTTCCCTCCATTTTTTGTTACGTAAATAGTATTGTTAATCTTGCTGTTAACAGAGGTAAGAAAAAATTATTTACAAGTATGTATTAGAATATTTAACATGCTTTTGGTACTTTATGATTGCATATTAGACCAAGAAAAGGTAACAACTCTCTTAATATAATTGAGATTTTCCCTTTTTTTTTTCAGTTTGTTTTCTTTGCTATCTAAAAAACATAACAAAGTTCTGGAACAAGCCACACAGTCCTTGAGAGGTTCAGTGAGTTCCAGTGATGTTCCTCCACCAGATTATGTAAGTAGTTACGTTATCTCATTGATAAAATTTTTCCTTTTATTGTTAATTTATAAATAACAATACAGTTCCTCAATTTTTGCCTTCAGAAACCTCCACTATGCAAATAAAGGAATGAGGTCTCAAGGGAAAAAATGTTTTAATGATTATTGTCAAATGGCTGAAGAAAAACAATTGTAAAGCAATAGTTATTATTAATAATTAGGAATCCTAATATCTGAGTCAAGAAACCCACTCAAACTAATTACACAAAAATGAAAGGAGGGATTTTACAGGAAGTATACAAAGATTTCTCACTGAACCCACTGGAAGAGGAGGGAAATACACCTGGATTTCACAGAGAACTATAACCTAAAATTGAAATACATGAAATTCAGGAATATCCTGTTACTGAGGCCCATCTTGTTTCTGATCTTTATTCTATTTTGCTTCTTTATTCTTCTGCTGCTTTCTACTAGCCAGGTTTCTCTCTTTGCTCACTTGAGTATAAGATAACAATCCCAACTTTTCTGCTTGCCAACCCAGTGAGTACCTTTAGCCAGCCCATCAGTATTGAAGTCCCAATTGTAATTCATGGGTAAGAGAATCCATTTGGCTCTTGTCTTACTAATACAGGACTATAAATTTATCAGCCATGGTCAGAAGAGAAGTACTGGAACATGTTGCTTTTGTTCCGCCACTTTAAAGATAATTCCTTACTACCACCTTACCCTGGAGGATGCTGATGGAATGCAATAAAAGCAGCACAGGTGTGAGCCTTGTACAGTGATAGGAAGGATAGGAAGGAGAGTGCATTATGAGTCCCTTTAGGGCAGGGCCACTATCTGTGACATTTGTTAAATTTTGGAACATGGCTTAAATTAAGGTGCTAAAAATTAGCGTGCCACAGAAGAAGTTCATGGAATTCTAATTGAAGGCTCGCTATAACACCCAACAATTTAGTAGGTTGATATTTAGAGAATTTATTAGAGAATTTTTTTAATTCAGTGTTTGAAATGGCAATGCACTCCACAGAGCTGAAGAGCTATTTTGCTTGTTTCCTGTGGTTTGTTTCGTTTCTAAATGGTTTTGCTGATATGAGACTGTGGGAACAGGACCAAGACCAGATGTCAGTCACCAATAAACAAAGATATCTGTGTATAGCCACAGCCTGACTGCTGCTATTTTTCTCATGTTTTATTTATCTTGTACGTATGTGTCTCCATGTATGCTAGACTCTGAAAAGATTTGTCAATTAAGATATTAAGTTTATATTTCCAGAAAGTAATTTTAAGACTTTCTTGCTAAGTAAAATATTCCAAATTTTTTAAAAAATTAGTTTAACAGCTCACTTAATTCTGTACTTACTTTGACTTGTGATAAGAAAAAATTTCTTTCTGATACCTCTTTGGAGACCTCAGGTGAAACAAGATGGCAGCAGGGAAGTATGTTTATAAAAAACTTTAATTTGGTTCATCTTTGTTTTGTTACTTTTATATAATTGTTATTTAATTCATATAGCAGTTTTATCATTTATTCCACAAAAAAGTATTCAATTTATTTAGCCTGAAATTGCCCAAGCAGCATTTTTCAAAAAATCAAAAATCAAAAATCCATCAAATTTATATTTCTTAGAGGAAATAGATCATATTTAATGGTATTTGCCAATCATGGAGATGATTATGCAGTGATAGAACAGTTTGAATTTGTCACAGACATTTGAAGGCTGTTACTGAACTTTATAGTTTTTAGTCATTATTTGACTATTTTCTTCTTTCAAGAAATTTTCACAAAGTAAAAATTAAGTTTATTGATTATCTGCTCCCTAAGAATACTAAAAACGTTCTGTTTGAAATCTGTCATTAACAGTCCTTATTTTAACTTTTGTTTGTATGAAACTTGAAAATCCCAATATTTTCCAAATAGATGTATGAACTTGAGTTTTGCTGCTTTTCTTTGGGATTAATTGTGACTCATTCCCTCTGCCAAGGATCTGAAAGGTGATTAAAGGAAATAGCAGTAATCTTAAAAATAAGCACGGCAACATATTCTTCTTTCATGATACCTGTTTTATTGGTCAATCCCTTTGCTCAAAATATACTGTGTATAAGTGATTTGTACATTTGAAATCACTCTTCTTGTCCTTCTCTTTTAAATTAGTCATTATCTGGGAAAAATTAATATTTTCCTCCTTTTAAAATTTTATTCTTGATTTATTAAGTGTCTTTGCCAGCAGCCACATAAAATTTTATATCATAAACTAATGCTTTAGACTATGTGTTCATAAAAGATGGAAAAGGAATGAAAAGATCTTAATGCAGCTGTGAATTCCCAGATGCACCAAGATTGAATAAATTATATTAGCAGAGTTTGAGTAAGTGCTTAGAAATGATGTTTTTCTTTTCACTGTAGTACATAGAATACTTTCAATCTACCTGCAGGTTTCTGAGTTTTTTAGGAAAATGTTTATCCTTATACTATATAATTCACAAGTCAGTGGACTAAAGATGTAGAAAGCGTATTGCAAGTTACAAAAACATTAGTATTAGTATGTTAATAAAACCATGTTTGTCTGAACCTCTCAGGGGAAACCCCTCAGTGAAGTTTTAGATGATAAGGAAACTGCCCGGGCTGCTTAAGGGGAAATAAAACAAAAACTGTCCTTCAGTCTTCTGTGGGGAGAAAGAATGCTCATGACAGAGAATGCTGCTTCAGGGACAGGCAAACTTTGGTTGGCTTGCCCATGCTTTACTCTTTTCATAATGGGGTTTCATAAAAATTCAGTAACTGAAAGCACAGAAGTTTTTTTAAAATTTTATTTTATTGGTACATTTTGAGTATACAATATAATGACATTCATCATTGGAAATTTGTACCTTTACATAATCTCTCTTGGTTCTTATTTTTGCCCCCTTCCCCTGCCCTCCCTTCAACCCCTCCATCCCTCCCTATTTACAAAGCCTTTGTTTCCATTTTTTTCATTTTCTCATATTAATTCCATTC